ATTTTGCACAACGTGCAAGCTCCTCAATCTGCAGAGAACTGATAAATTTGCAAAAGATCACAAAGGGTTTGTCTCAAGCTCTTAACCCATCTAGTTCTCTGACTTAACGATGACATCTGTGCTTGTTGTAGCCACAGCATCGGCATCCCTCATGGTACAAGGCTGCCTTTCTGTCTGATCGCCCTCCACTGGTTCAGGTAACATTGCAAGAGCTGTTGCTTAACCCCCAACACAAACACCAGGAGATACAGTCTCCCAAGTACATACTGTAGGTTCCAGACCAGCCTTTGTCCACTTGGTGCCTTCCAGATGTGTTGGGCCACAACTCCCATTAGCCACAACCAAAATCAAACTAAGTAAGTAACTCCCTCAGGATTCTTCGGAGGAAGTTGGGTGTTTTAAGTGTCAATGTAAGAAGTGTTTCCTGTTTTACCATTAAAAAAAATTCCCCTGCCAGTGGATATAGAAACCAACTGGCAATGACAGTCCTGCAGCTCAGCCCAGGGTCCAGCAACTGGGTGGGAAGTGAGAAGAAAGCAGACCCTGCAAGTGTCCCTGGTTTAACAGACGCCCATCCCTGTTTCTGATTTGATCTGGAAATGCCCCGCTTTTCCTTAAAGGTAAAGGGACCCCTGACCATTAGGTCCAGTCATGGCCGACTCGGGTTGCAGCGCTCATCTCGCTTTATTGGCCGAGGGAGCCGGCGTACAGCTTCCGAGTCATGTGGCCAGCATGACTAAGCCGCTTTTGGCAAACCAGAGCAGCGCATGGAAATGCCGTTTACCTTCCCGCCTTCTACTTGCACTTTGATGTGCTTTCGAACTGCTAGGTTGGCAGGAGCAGGGACTGAGCAATGGGAGCTCACCACGTCGCGGGTATTCGAACCACCGACCTTCTGATCGGCAAGCCCTAGGCTCTGTGGTTTAACCCACAGCACCACCTGCATCCCTTCGCTTTTCCTCAGGATGTCTCTATTTCCATCGGAGAAATGTCGGAGGGTATGGGAAAGTACGACAACCCTGCGATGTAGTCCGTGGGTTATATGACAGGGTTGGGCGCTGGGGGCTAAGCCTGCTTTGGATTTCCAGGCTGGCACTGTCATTTTCACAGAGAGATGCGTCTTTGGGTGTCTGAACAGGAAACGTCAATACAGAATGTTTCTCCCGATGAATTTGATATACGCAGTTTGCAAAATGAGCTTTATCAGAAGCTTAAAGGCTTGGGGATCCCACAGCAGACCCTGATAGCGACAGGCTTCGAGAAAGCTAGGACTACAATTCGCCAGCGTATCTGGGACGTAGAATTGCAATGCCACATGAGTGAAATGATCAAACATCCAGCAATAAGGGACCATGGGAGAGGTTTCTCTCCAGCTAACTATCTGTCAGGTCTTCAGGTACCCAAATACAGATGGTCTTTTACCCTCGCCAGATTCAACGTTCTCCCTTCTGCCTTACTTCAGGCCAGATTTGAGGGTAAACCATACACAACACGGGTCTGTCCTTGTGGCTCGTTGGAAGTTGAAACTGCTTCACATGTACTATTACGTTGTCGTCTTTATGAGGATATACGTTTGACTTTTATTACACCTGTTTTGCAAAAGTCCAGGAAAGAATCGGAACACCATAGTTTAAAACTACTGCTAGAGGACAAGAATCCCAAGACTACATTAAATGTAGCTAAATTCTGTGCATCTGCAATCAATCGCAGGAAGCAAGTGGTATCCCATAATGACCAAACCCCTAAATGTTAATTACAGGGGGCACGCTAATAATTAATTATATTTTTTATATTTAAATCCTTGTTATATTCATATTGTCTCTTGTATTTCTGATATTTTTTATGATCTGTGATATTGTGTGTGTTGACGCTGGTCTGTGACCGTATTAATAAATTCATTTCATTTCATGGTGGCGCCGTGTGAAACACTTCTTTGCTAACAAGGAGTGTTTGCATGAGATAGAAGAACTTGCTAACTCCTTGATGGCTAAATGCAGTTCCTACATTTGTAAAAAGGTTGATTCCAAAGGAGACTATGATGATACATATTGTGGTGAACTTTTACAGATTATCAATGAAAAGCTACAGCAGCCTGATGCTCAGAAATATCATATAGCAACACGGTTTGAAGTAGATCTAAAGCTTCACATACTGGGGGAAGCAGCTCATGAATTTCAAACGATGCATGAAGAGTTTATTAAGGAAAATGATCCCTGTATACGCTTGGAGAAACTGAAGCCTCATTTTTTCTCAATTTTCAGAGATCTTTATCTGGAAAAAGATGCCCAGCAAATCAGAGCCAAGGATTTCTGTGACCAATGTCTCCATCCTGCCCTTGTGAGTTATATCAACAAAAGACTTGGGATAGAAATAGTCGGCCCTCACGCATGTTCACTTCATCAAATCTGGCCCTCTTTGAAAAAAGTTTGGGCACTCCTGATCTAGTTGAACCCCCTGCAACTTAGGAATATGCAGCTGTCCCACACAGGGATCAAACCTGCAACCTTGGCATTATCGGCACCATGTTCTTTACCAACTGAACTATCCAGGCTCAGTTAGTATATGCTGCCAAGTCCTCACTCCCGTCAGCAGTCATGTGGCAGCATCCTGCACTAACTGCAGCCTCCGTACAAAGAGTGAGGGGCACCCCACATACTGTAGAGTGTATTGCTGCAACCCAGTCTTGAAGTACAGTGGTACCTCGGTTAAATACGCTTCAGGTTACAGACTTCGCTAACCCAGAAATAGTACCTCGGGTTAAGAACTTTGCTTCAGGATGAGAACAGAAATTGTGTGGTGGCAGTGCGGCGGGGGCACGGTGGCAGCGGGAGTCCCCATTAGCTAAAGTGGTGCTTCAGGTTAAGAACAGTTTCAGGTTAAGAATGGATCTCCAGAACGAATGAAGTACATATCCAGAGGTACCACTGTAATCAATGCATGAACTTCTGTGGCAAAGTTTCTCCAGTCCAGAAACGGCTTTAGCTGTTGAACCGGCCACAGTTGGTAAAAGGCATTTCCAGCCACTGAGGCTACCTGAGCCTCCAGTGACAGAGCTGGATGGAGAAGCACCTCCAAAGTGTGAACGTGCTCCTTCAGCAGGAGCGCAACCCCATCCAGGGTAGGCAGCAGGCCAATATTTCAGGCGCAGGAGCTATTTGTTCACAGTACCTCAGTCTTGCCAAGATTCAAGCCATAGCTGTCAACCTTCCCTTTTTTATGGGAAATTCCCTTATTCCAGCGCTGCTTTCTGCTGCTATCCTGGATTGTTAGATATCCCATAGACTGTCCCCGGGACAGGTGAGGCTGCTGATCCCTTATTTTCAAGGCTGCTGATCCCTTATTTTCAAATCTGAAAGGTGACACCTATGATTCAAGCTCTGCTTGTTTTTAAAAATAAAAATAAAACCACAAAATATAAAAACAACAACCCAATAACGACCCCACCCAAACCCCCCCCACATTTCAAGCTTATAGGTCTCTATGTGCATCAAAATCAACCAAAGGTCTGGTTAAAAAGGAACGTTTCTGCTTGGCACCTAAAGGTGTATTATGAAGGCTCCAGGTGAACTTCCAGAGGAGAGCATTCTCGTTTTGCCACTCTCCGGACCTCTCAAGGAGGAGGCAGATAAAGGAGGGCCTCAGAAGGTGAATGAATGAATTTTATTATTACAGTCACAGACCAGTTCCGGCTCTCTTACAGTATCAGGAAAATCATAAAACACAACAGGAATACATTGAATCACAGTTAGGTATAACAGAGACAATTCAGATATAGTGGCAGTTAGAAATATGTATTAATCTGTATGTGTGACATCATCAAAAATGTTGTTGCTGCCTGCCAGCCCAATCCATGTGCCCAGAAGGCACCATCACTTCTTTTGTTATACTAAGAATGATGGTCCTTAGGCGGGAGCCATGGCCAGTTCTATCACATGCCTGACTAGTTCAGCAATGGAATCGAATCCTCCATTACATTTTAATCCTCGCTGGATCCAGGACCCCAGGAATTACACGGGGCTCGAGCATCATACAGACTGAACCCCCCAAGGTTACAATTGTTGTATTTAGACGTGTTGGTATAGAAAGGGTTTCCGGCTGCAGGGACAAAAAAATGGAGACAATGATGGAGGCATTGTGGAAGATTTTTGCAGCCCAGCATTTTGAATGGAGGGCTTAAATACCTCACAGTTTCTCAATTGCTAGAGAAGGCTCTGTGAGGTCATTCCTCCTCTCCTCCTGAGAGACGAGCTGGGTGACTAAGCAGCCTCGCACCTAGATTTTTCCGTAACAAAAGCTTTCTTCCTAGTCCCCCCCCCTCTCTCTCTTTCTCTCTCCTTTGTGGAACATAGATCAGAGAACACGTGTCTGAGCTCCTTCCTGAACCCAGACTCCATTTGGGAACTGACTTTGTAATTTTGTACTTGGTTAATTTGTCTACCTGCATTGCTTTTGTTGTGGCACTCAGATCTATGACGAAGACCTTGTATTATGGAAGTAGTAAACCTTTTAAAACTTGTGCAACATGTGGCCCAATTCATTGCCAGAGGGGTAGAGATGGAAGAGCACATTGTCAGTGCCTAATACTGGGATATTTAAAAGGCCTAACAACCTAAATTTCCTGTGCTTTGCAAACGCAGATACATAACTGAACAAGTTTCTGCATGCTTTTTAAACTACCACTTCCACCCTCATGACTCCCATGAAAAGAGGATCATAATCAATCTCCCTCCATTTGACAGTCCTTTCCCCTTAACTCATGGTGAGTTCCATGAGACGGCATTCCTTTTTCCTTACTCCTTCCCGGTGAGGGCAAGGAGCCTCTGTGCCTCGTTTCTGCAGTTGATGGCTCTGAGGACCTCGGCCGTCACCTGCACAGCATCATCTTCCAGGTAGAAACTCATAAGGTGGTGGCTTAAGTCCACCGCATCTGCCTTCTCCAGTGTCCCTAGGGGGATGTTGTCATAACCCTTCCTGAGGGGGAACTTGTTGAGCTTGACCTTGAATTTCTTGAGTTCATCCTCCCGCAAGTTCTCCAGCGTGGACATCAGGCAGTCTGCGATGGTCTTCTCCATTGCCCTGCAATGTCACCCCCAGCAGCAAGGAAAAGCAGACACAAAACAAGAGAAGCTCAGCAAATGGACTTAGGAATGAGGCAGATCCTTAGAAGATACTGCCAACTTCCACAACTAGGAATGACACTGAGGGGGAGAGGTTGGCTGCTACATGGAGCCAAAATGGGATAAAGGAGGTCAAATGACCTGTATTTCCACATTATACTGCTGCCTGACCATTCTAGCACTGGGAGAGCTGAGAGGCAGAATTCCCTTCATCAGCTCTGCTGTGAAAGGCCGGCTCCATCATGCCTGTTATGTTTTGCTGGAAGCCGCCCAGAGTGGCTGGGGCAACCCAGCCAGATGGGTGAGGTAAAAGTACAGTGGTGCCCCGCAAGACGAATGCCTCGCAAGACGAAAGGGTTTTCCGTTTTTCGATGCGCTACGCAAGACGAATTTCCCTATGGGCTTGCTTCGCAAGACGAAAACATCTTGCGAGTCTTGCGATTTTTTTCGCTTCCCCCCTTTTTCTAAGCCGCTAAGCTGCTAAGCCTTTAATAGCCGCTAAACTGCTAATAGCGCTAATCCGCTAATAGGGTTGCTTCGCAAGACAAAAAAACCGCTAGACGAAGAGACTCGCGGAACAGATTATTTTCGTCTTGCGAGGCACCACTGTAATACAATGGTACCTTGCGATAAGAACTGAATTTGTTCTGGAGGCCCGTTCTTAACCTGAAACTGTTCTTAGCCTGAGCTACCATTTTAGCTAATGGGGTCTCCTGCTGCCGCCGCACCGCCACCATACGATATCTGTTCTCATCCTGAAGCAAAGTTCTTAACCCGAGGTACTATTTCTGGGTTAGCGGAGTCTGTAACCTGAAGCGTCTGCAACCTGAAGCGTCTGTAACCCGAAGTACCACTGTATATTATTATTAGTCTTTACTTTGCAACTGGGGCTCTCTCCTAGTGGAGTGTGTGTTCAGCCCCAGCTTTTTAATCTAGGTACCCAGCAATTTTCCTCTTGTTAATTCACACACACACACACACACACACACACACACACAGGTCACAGGAATTAATATATTTTCCCATCTCCTTCAAGAGAAAGGGTTAATCCCTACCTGCCTTCTGCATTACGGCCTGAGTCAGTTCTCTGGGATGGTGTATGGGGCAGTGAGTAGCCACAATCACCTGGAAAGGAGAGAGAGAGGATATGAATGAAGCAAGCAGGAACTATAAGAAATTGATGACGATGGGAGATGAGTTATTGGGAGCCCATGCACTGGATTCCTCTGGCATGTCTAGATAGCTGAGTTCAGCCAAATTTTAAAAACCTAGGTGTTTTTAAAGATCTTGATCTGGCACCAAAGAACATGATGAAGCCAGGTCAGCATGTCTAGGAAGGCTCTTCCATGACATTACAAATGTTACTTTTTATTATTATTCTGCCATGTGTGTAGTGCTGTATCACCAGTTGCGCTGTGCCGCCTTGGGAGGGAGGTGGGATATAACTACAGGGAAATAAAACTTGCTTACCTTGTACTGGGCGTAGAATAGAGGAATTCATCTGACCTGGATCTAACTCTTCTGCAAGAGAACAGGAAAGAGGCAATCAAAGAGGGACTGTGACTGGGATGCTCTTTGCCGTCCTGCCTCCCAACCTACAGTCCAACCTTGTGATCTTCCCTCGGTCAAAACACACCTCGATTCACATGGGCCTTCCAGATGAGCTTATTTGTGCGCTTCTCCACCAGCGTGAAGCTGAACTTCTCTTGCATTTGCTCAGCAGACAGCTCCATGTACTGCTGCAGCTTCTCAGCATCCAGATATTGAAACTTCACTTCCTGCGGGAGAGCGGGAAACCTCTGTAGTTGTGAATGTGGCTTAGCCCCGCCCATGATTCCAAGAGAGTCCAATTAAAGGGCGAGCAGGGGTCCTGGTTCCTTCCCATTCTCATGCGTCACAGCTTAGCTCTGCATTGACAGAATTTTTCATCATCTTTTGTCTCACCTCAGGCCAGATTGTGACGTCGTCTAAGGTCTGCACAAAGATGGGAGTGCCAATCTTCAGACTTTTCAGGGTCCCAGGGGGTTTCTCTATTCTCCGTGAATGGCAATTTGCTTCATGCTCATCCACAGCCTGGGAAGGGCAAACAAGGTCACTTTTGAGACATGCAAAGAAGGCAGCAAGCTCCTACGATACTGGGTCTCTTTCAAATAGGATGAAGGGCATTTGGAGCAGAAGTTCAGCTCTTTTCCTCGAAGCCTCACAACTTTCTTGGCATTGTTACAGTAGATAAGGCAGGGATAGGAAATCTGCTGCCTTCCAGGTGCTGTTGGCTTTCCTTCAGCCCCAGCCAGCATGGGGCAAGGATGGTGGATGTTGTAGTCTAACAACACCTGAAAGGACACAGGTTCTCCATCCACAGGGCAAGGAAGACTAAACTGCTTTGGCACTAGAAACTATAATGGGGACAGGAGATTTATTGGCCACATGAGAAAGTGAAGTTGGGGCTCTTGGATTGGCTACCTTGAACTGTGACACCGCAGAGAGCTACCAGCAACCCTGAGTCAGTCTCCTGATGAGACAATGCAGGAACCCACAGAAGGAATTATACTTCAATATTACCATGAAATATAAGGCAACATTTCTAGGAGCACTGAAATTGATAAGGAAAAATAACAGTGTGCTTTATCTCCAACATGCCAACATTGCAAACCAGGAGGGATGTTTTCCTCAAAGAGCTCATAAGTACAGTGGTACCTTGGTTTAAGAACAGTACCGGAAGTAGTGTCCTGGTTTGAGAACTTTACCTTGGTCTATGAACGGAATCCAAATGGTGGAAGATTGTGTGTGAGATTGTATGGGAAAAATATGGAATAACAAGTACAATCTTGCTTAAAATGTATATAGGAAGTGCAGTGTAAGCGATGGAAGTCAATCAATGAAATTTTATTATTGAGATATTTGTAGAATAAATTTGGAGGAAATTCTTCCAACTTTTCTTCTTCTTTTTCTCTTTATCTTTGCTTTTTCTTTTGTTCCTTTTCTTCTTTTTTGTTCTTTTTATATATATGTGTGCTTATCTGAAATATATAAGTATGTATGTATTTACAATATTTTGCTTATATTTTGTAATAATTGTGTTAAATAAAATGAAAATGAAAATAAAATAAAAGAAGGTCCCTTACAAATTTGAATAATAGGATTGATAAGTAAAAAAAGGGGGGAGCGCCCCCCGTTTTAAGAACGGTTTCAGTTTAAGAACGGACTTCCGGAATGGTTTAAGTTCGTAAACCGAGGTACCACTGTACCAAGTCTTTTGCTAAATGAGCTAAGGGGAATTTGCTCTTCATGAAATGTGTTTTCTCTGAGGGAAGCCCCACTGGCTTCAGTGTAGCATAAATAGATTCCATTTTCACAATTTGGCAACAACTGCTAACTGGTTCTCTAGGCAAGACCTTTAGCCATTAGCAAGGAGACTGCCAAACAAATGAAAATTGTTTATTTCAATATTGGAAAGTTCACTTTTAGTAAACACCACTGTTGTTGGGAAGCAAAGTAACCTTGTGAAGGACAGCTGATAATCTCATCTCTGGTGGCATTTTCATGTCGGCTATAAGTTTGTGCTCGGTCCCAGCGCCTGCCAACCTAGCAGTTCGAAAGCACCCCCGGGTGCAAGTAGATAAATAGGGACCGCTTTCTAGCGGGAAGGTAAACGGCGTTTCCATGTGCGGCTCTGGCTCGCCAGAGCAGCGATGTCACGCTGGCCACGTGACCCGGAAGTGTCTCCGGACAGCGCTGGCCCCCGGCCTATAGAGTGAGATGGGCGCACCAACCCCAGAGTCTGTCAAGACTGGCCCGTACGGGCAGGGGTACCTTTACCTTTACCTTTTATAAGTTTGTGCTATAAGTGAGAGCTGGACCAAAAAGAAGGCTGATCGCTGAAGAATTGATGCTTTTGAATTACGGTGCTGGAGGAGACTCTTGAGAGTCCCATGGACTGCAAGAAGATCAAACCTATCCATCCTTAAGGAAATCAGCCCTGAGTGCTCACTGGAAGGACAGATCCTGAAGCTGAGGACTAAACAACAACAACGTTTGGTAAATTAAACAACACCTGCACTCTCCAGATTTATTGGTTCTGAGAGACCAGTGTCTTTTACCTAACTCTGATCCTTTTTCACTATATCAGCGGGTCTCAGAGTCTCTTTTCCCATTACTTACAAACACCAGGCCTCCCAAACAACATAACAAATCAGGGGTCTGGTTTGACAAAGACTGCCGGAAGCTAAGATCCTTGCTTAGGAAACAACAAAACAAGGTAAAACAGGAGAGGACTTCTTTCATCTATGGTAAATTTCCACAGATGGCGCTCTTACTATAAAAACACCTTAAAACTCAAGAAATCCCTTTATAGGAAGGAACAATGGGAGGCACTTGATAAGGCGATTAAATCGCGAGACGATAGAAAATTTTGGGCAATAGTAGCACAGGGAGTCTTATCCAAAGGAAAAATTGTAAACAACAGTATTCCATCCGATGTGTGGTTTCAACACTTTTTCCAGCTATACACACCCTCAAATATTGCTAATTCGAGTCCGTCCCTCCCATTGAAGAATGTTCATCTAGCTAGTTGGGATCCTGTTACGGAATCAGAGTGCCTACAGCTAATTAAAACATTAAAAAAATGGCAAAGCTCCTGGTGAGGATATGATCCCCCCTGAGGTATTTAAATCAAATACCCAATGGTGGGCCATCTTTTTGGCCAAACTTTTTACGGCAATAAACAACACATGTAAAATCCCAGCAAACTGGAAACTAAGTGTGGTAGCCCCTATCTACAAGAAGGGAGATATTCAAGATCCAGCAAACTACCGCCCTGTAAGCCTTCTGGACATCGCATACAAACTTTATACCCGGTACTTATTAAACAAGTTGGTAGACTGGGCGGACCATTCTAACCTGTTCAACCAGGAACAGGCAGGATTTAGAAAGGGCCACACTACGATAGGTCACTGTATGGTACTACAGACCCTGGTAGCTAAATATGCAAAAGCGTATAAGAGCAGATTTTTTGTGGCCTTCGTTGACTTGACATCTGCCTTTGACTCAATCTGTAGAGATAGATTATGGAAAAAATTATATGAAACGGAAATTGATAGACGACTTTTAAAAATTCTCAGAGAGTTACACACAGATACTACAGTCAAAATCAGAACTGGGCCATCGGGAACTCTTACGGACCCACTGCCATTGGGGAAAGGGGTCAAACAGGGATGCCTGCTAGCCCCATTTCTTTTTAACTTTTATATAAACAACATTGTTCAGTACATGGCAAAGTACAAGTCATCGGCTCCAGCCCTTGAAGGTAAACGTCTGAATATATTGCTATACGCCGATGACATGGCTTTAATGGCACTCACCCGAAGAGGCTTACGCAGCATGCTGGAGGGGATTGCAGCCTACTGTTCCCATAACTCACTAAAGATAGACTATGACAAAACAAAAATTGTGGTGTTCACTAGAGCTCGTCACACCTTTAGATGGTTTTTAGACGAACATGTGATTGAACAGTGCCCCTTTTTTAAATATCTGGGTGTTACATTTCAGGCTACATCTAGTTGGCTAGCCCACTTTAAGGCTGTAACCATCCTAACACGAAGAACAATTGGTGTCCTGCTTAGTTTCTTCCATACCCGGGGAAGATCCCGGCATTAAGAGCTTTTGTTGGGAAAGCTATTCCCCAGATGTTATATGGGATAGAACTCTGGGGGTGGAACCAGAGGCTGTTGGAACGGCTTGAAATTTTGCAAAATTATTATCTCAAGAGGATTCTAGGCCTTCCTCAAGGAACCCCAGCAGCTTTCTTGAGGGTGGAGGTTGGATTACCCTCTGTGTCTGCCAGGGCCCAATTAAGATTCCTACGATTTTACATCAACCTTGCAAACACTTCAAACACCTTATTGGCCAAACAAGCCTTTGTATCTCTTCAAAAGAACACCACTTGGCGTCAAAACCTATCTGAGATCCTGGTTAGATACACCCTACCGGAGTTTAATATTCTCAAACTGTGGAGACCGGACAAAGTTCGGGAATGGATCCTGGAGACGCTCTGTTAGATATCACAAAAATACAGAACCCAGGGTCCTCCCACTGGTTTCCCCGACTGAAAACAGTCAAAACCTGCGCCAGTTACTTGGCGAATATCACCAATCCCACCCTTCGGAGAGCTTTCACCATGGCCCGTTTTCAAACCATTCCTACGACCTATCTGTCAGGCAGATATGCAAAAATCCCAGTAGAGCAGCGTATATGTCCTTGTCATATGAGAACCAAAGAGGATCTCACACATTACATGTTGTATTGTCCCATCTATTCGGCCTTCAGGGATGCGATGTTACAAACTATTCCCAAATCAATAGCCAACTCTGAGGACCAAGTAAAGTTTTTACTGGTGGACGCTGATCCACGGATTTCTCACGTGGTAGCGGTCTTTGTGGTGAAGGCTATGAAAACTAGGGTATGGTTCCTGGAGGAAATGGTGAGGTCCCTCCCATTGCTCCCCTAACCTGTTGCTGTATCTTCTTTCC